AGCAGGGATGGAGCGGGGATGGAGCAGGGATGGAGCCGGGGATGGAGCAGGGATGGGAGCAGGGATGGAGCGGGGATGGGAGAAGGGATGGAGCAGGGATGGAGCAGGGATGGAACAGGGATGGGAGTAGGGATGGAGCAGGGATGGAGCAGGGATGGGAGCTGGGATGGAGCTGGGATGGAGCAGGGATGGGAGCAGGGATGGGGCAGGGATGGGAGCAGGGATGGAGCAGGGATGGAGCTGGGATGGAGCAGGGATGGGAGCAGGGATGGAGCGGGGATGGGAGCAGGGATGGGAGCAGGGATGGAGCAGGGATGGGAGCAAGGATGGAGCAGGGATGGAGCAGGGATGGGGCAGGGATGGAGCTGGGATGGAGCAAGGATGGAGCAGGGACCAGGAATGAAGCAGGGATGGAGCAGGGTTGGGAGCCAACCATCAGCTTCCAAAAAACCCCAAAATCCTGACGGAAAAAATCAAAGAATCCCCATGGGAAATGAAAATCCCATGGACAAGGTGGGAAAATCCAGAGTGGGATTGAGCAGGGGTTTTGGCTGAGCTGCAGCTCAGGAAATTCAACCTCAACCACAAATCCATCAAACAAAGCTGGAATTGCCATCCCAGGGGATAATCCCCCTTGGAGCACCACAGGGCCTGGAGCACTGGATCATCCCTGCTGGGCAGCAGGGCCCCAGGGCTGGGACAATGAGGAGAATCCCACGGGAATGCTTCAGGAGGAGGAAAAGCAGGAGCAGAACCAGCTCTGAGAAGGAAGTTCTGAAGAGCAGCTGTGTTTTTGGGGAATGGGAGAACTCAGCTTGGCATGGAGAGGGCTGGAGCCCAAGCCAGGGCACATTCCCAGGATATACAGCCCAGCCACCACATCCCTGGGCAGCTCCCACAGCTGCATTCCCACCAGGACCAGGAAAACACCCAGGAAATGCTCTTGGAGTCACCTCCACTTGCTCAAGGTTACCCAAGCACCTCTCCCTATTGCTCCTTCATTCCCAGCATTCAGGAGGCTCCTCCATGCCATGGGATGCTCCAGGAACCAGCACTTCATCATTCCTGGGAATCACCAGGTGTGAAGGACATTCCATGGTCCATTCTCCCTGCTCCTCCCCCGAGCCTGCGGCAAGGACAGCAATTAGAGGCAATTAATGGGAGTTTTTAGCAGGAAAATTGTCCTTGTTTTGTGTTAGTTTGGGTGGGAAGAGCCCAACCCCAATCCCAATCCCATTGGGATGGGAATTCTTGTGGTGGTTCCTCTCCCACCCCTTGGTGGTTTCTGAAGGTTTTGTTGCCTTCTCCACTCCAAGAGCTCGGTGATGATCCATTAGCTCACGGAATTTCCGGGAGCCGCAGTCGCCGTTTCCTTGCCTGTCTGAACACATCGTGCTCCATGCCTGACTCCAGTTCTAAACTCTCAGAAGCTCTTCCCTCCCCTCCTCCCTGTGTATCCCAGAGCCTCCATTGTTATTCCAGGCAGGAATATCCTCCAGCCTCCTTAAAGGAATCATCTTCACACTCTGCAGGGTTCCTGATCTTCCCGAGCTTGAGAGCAGCCCCACAGCACACCCAGAGCCACGGATCAGGATAATCCAGGATTTCATCCAGGAAAACTCTAGAGCAGAGCTGGAATAGGGAGATCAGGCTGATCCCAGCTGCATTCCTGGAAGGATCAGAGTGTTGGAATCCCCAGTGATATCCCTGGGATTTCCTGGGAGCTCTGGGGTGAAGGTGGGGTGGGACCACTCCTATGCCAGCAATTTGGGGAATTCCTGCTCCCAAGTTTGCATTTTTCCCTCCCTCAGCCTCTCCACCGTCTCCAAGAATTGCTTTTCCCTTAAATTTTTGTCCCTCCTGCAGCCTGGCCCAGATTTGGGGCTCCCCAGGCTCTCTCTGTGCCTGCAACAACACCGTGCTGCTGTTCCTGTCTCTTGAAATAATTCCTTCATTTCTCCCTCCGGGATTCTCGAGGCTCCAGCAGCTGCTCCTGACACGGCTGTGCCTGACCAGCTGCAGCCGCTGGAATCCAGGAGCGCTCCAAGGCAGCTCCAGGGCTTGCTGCAGGCTCTGAGGGTGGGTCCTGCTCAGCACCCCCAGAACAGGTCCCACGTTCCTGAGCCATCCAGGCTGATCCCACGTTCCTGAGCCATCCAGGCTGATTTCCCATTTCCATGCTGGCCAGAATACTCCTGTCCCGTTCCTATCCCATCCAGGCTGTTCCTGTCCCATTCCTGTTCCATCCAGACTGTTCCTGTCCCATTCCTGTTCCATCCAGGCTGTTCCTGTCCCATCCTGTCCCATTCCTGTCCCATCCCGGCTGCTCCCCCATGTCCCCACTCCAGACACCCCCAG